TCTAGTAAAATTAAAAAATTTCCATAATAAAGCTTATAGAATATGTTTTAAATAAAATATTGTATATATAAATTATATCCCATATTATTAATAATTTTTAATTTTATTTAAAAATTTGTAAATACTTTTCAATTTTCCAGGCAAATTTGTCTGAAATACAGTTTAAGGGATAATACACACAAAAACAATAATACCCAAAGAAATATAGTAACTACTGAACTATTAAATTCATTTAATTTATCCAGAATACCTACCCATATTCTTATATTAAAACCTGGTTGTATAGCTACCATAATGAGAAATCTTTCATTACATGATAGTCTATACAAAAATAGTAGAGTTATAATTTTAAATATTGGACACCGACTAATAACCGTGCAAAACCCAATAACACAATCTATTGTATATTTACTACGAATAAGTTTCTTATCATTTTCTTTTCAAAATTAATCATCACCAATTTCCCCTACGCCTAGCATACTCTTCAAGATTTAATTTATCACAAGAGCTAACACTAGATCGTGTTATACTAGATCTACGCACTCCAGTATTTGCTCATAGCCAACTATATACTGCCCTTACACATGTTCATCAAAGAAACCATGTCTTAATACTTGTGAAAGAAAATGATTCCACAAACCCTTTTATAACAAAAAATATTATATACTCAGAACTACTCAATTAAATCTTATAAATCTAACTAAATACAAATAAAATTATTGCAATATCTTATAAATAAAATAAAAAAAATTAATAATAATTAATTACAAAAATAACAAATACGTATTTATTACACATTACTTAAGCACAATATAAGAATACTTAAAATATAAACTACTTTAACAATAATATTTACTAATAATATTATTATTTTATAAAAGCAAAATCGATTTTATTTATATCATACTATATTTTAACTAATATTCCTTAAAAAATAACATTTTTTTTACGTATCAACACCTACAAACATACATAAAAACTCGCTAACAAATTCAATATATACATATAAAAATAAAATATAAAACATTTAAACTTCTTCAACATTCACATCATTATTCTGAGATCTTACACTCTTTCATAAAGATCGACCAGAAGAACCTCTTCCTCTTTTACCACCATGTGTTGTACCTTTCTTACCTTATTCTTTTTAACAGATTCTTCCATTTCATCACTATGAACACTTTTATCTACATTACTATTATCATCATCAATAACTTCATCTGACTAAAAACCCAAACTATCACCATTATCAAAAATAGGCACAGATTCATCAAAATCTTCAACTTTAACTCTCTTTGAAAAAGACCTATTATCTAAACTTAAAGAACTAGCCTGAGAATTATCAATCTTACTACCTGAATTCATCAATGAACCTTTATCCTCAAGAATATCTTTTGAATTTCCAACAATACTCCGATAAGTAGAAAGAAGTTTAGCATGAGTAAAATTAGTCACTTCAGATAAATTATCTAAACTAACATTATCAAAAATATTTTGCTTAGAAGAAAAATAAGTACTAATATACATAAAATCCTTAGCATAAATGTAAAAATCACTATCAATAACCTCAAATTGACCAACTACAAAAATAAGTGAATTTTGTGGTCGAATTTTTAGATTAACAAACCATGTGTTAAAACGTGGAAAAACAAGTTTAATGATAAAACTATGTTCCTGCCTGATATAATCACTTATTAACAATTTAAAAATTGAAGTATTGTCATTTTCTACAACTTGCGGCAACTCTTGAGAAACTCCTACTAAAGAAGTCTTCAATAGACATTTATTCAAATTATTAACTTTATTAAGAATAGATAAATGAGTTGAAATAGAAACAATCATCTAAAATAACCAAAAAAGATAAGTAAACAAAATAAATTTTAAACTAACAAAAAACTTAATACCTTTGCTCTTTTTTTGCCTTTATAGAATCCAGACATGATCTTACAGCCTACTGAATAAAAACAATCCTTTTCGAAAATAGCCTGTGTTTCTGGATCGCATTCATCAAGATTCATAGATACAAATAATACCAACTCAACTTTACTATCCTCACGTTCAATTGGATAACCACCAATAGCCTATACAGCTCTTAGATTATTATCTCCTTTTTTGCTCAGATTAACATATTTAATCCTCACAATCATATCTGCATAACATGGCATAATATAAAATCGCAAACCACTATTTTTTTTTTATATATATACTTTTTTTTTTGAAAAAATAAAAATTATAAAACTACAAACAAATAAATCTAAAAAAAAAACACAATACAGACAGACAACAATGCTTATATAGAAAATATCCATATAAAAATGATGAAAAATAAAAAAATCTTATATAAAACAGTTATATAAATCTGACATAAAAATAACGTATTGCAAATTAATACTAAAATAACACTAAACCAAAAATAAATAAATAATTTACCGCCAAATAACATCCTTTTCTAATCCATATTACAAATAAAATAAATAATACATATATATATATATATATATTATATTATATTATATATATTAATAAATAATTATAATTATAAATACTAAAAAAAACATAGCATATATCACCAACATACAACAACAACATACTGTAAAATTCTCACAAGCAAGTATTCATATAATTCGATATTAAAATCAATTTAATTTTACTTTATTTATACAGTTTAAATATTTTTTTTTTAAAAAAAACTGCTATGAATAAACAAAGAAAAATTATATAGAAACTTTTATTAAAGTTATAAAACTCACTATTAAAATAATCAAAACTCTTTTTATTTTAAAAAATTATTAACATAGCAATAACCTAATTTTAATAAGCCGATAATATATTAATTTCTCTAAACAAAAAAGAATTTTGATTGTTTAAATAATATAATCTTACAACCCCAATAAAACTTTCCCTATACTATTTGTTTATTTATTCTTTGTAAATTCTTTATTAAAAATATTTTAAACTATAGAAATAATGTAAAATTTAATTAATTTAAACACTATAAATAAATATAAATTTTACATAATAAATTACTAAAATAATTATTTAATTACATTAATACTAACCATAATATATCCAATATAAAAAAAATAAAAATAACCTACTAAAATATACAATACTATTATCTTAAATTAACTAAATATAAGATAAGTGGTGCGAATGCACTACCATCGCACTAGTTTTATTATAAAATAATATACTTTTTATTATATTATATATCAAGTTTTAGTAAATAAAACAATATAATAAATTTAATAAATTTTATATAATATATTATAGATAGTTTTTAGACATTTAAAATATTGAAACAATATATTAAAAGAGTTGTTATTTTCACTATAGTAAATTGTTATTTCCACCATAGTTATACAAGATTTTCTATTTTAGATAGTGGTTAGATTATCAAAATTGGCTTGGTGGATTTCAAAATATTTGGGGTTAATGGTGCAAACATAAAGATCTACAAATTCACTATTACACAGAGTATTATATTACAATTATAACAGTAAATTTGTAGATCTTTATATTCGTACCTTTAACCTAAATATCTTGGGATTTACCAGGCTGATTTTGATGAACTAATCACTATTAAAACCAGAAAAGTCTCCTCTACAACTTTACTTAAAGCTAGAAGAAAGGTTTACTTATTAGTTTTAGAGTTAGGGTTAGAGTAATATTAAAATTTAAGGCTAAATCTAAAAATAGAAAATTTTATATAATCATGGTGGAAATAACAAAAATCCATAGTGGAAATAATAATTCCCTATATTAATAGCAGAGTTAAATTTTTAATATTTATTTATTAATTTATTTGTTATAACCAAAAAAATCTTTTCAAAATAGACTATTATACAGCCTATACAAAATATTACTATATATTAAATTCAAAAAATATATAACTTTTTATCTTTAATTTTTACAAAATTTATAATAATTCTATATTAATATTATTTTTTATACAATTTAAAGCTACTTGTATACCAAATTAAAAATATAATTAAAGTATTAGATTCTGATATATACTAAATTTGATTCAATATTTAGCATATCCTTTTAATTTTATTTTTAATTTTTGTATAAATACATTATTATTTATAATATTGTCTAGAATAATATCAAAAAACTATAAAAAAAGCAAAGAAAAATTATTCTAAAAAATATGATTTTATATAATAAAAAAAACAAAATAAATTCTTTAATAAAGATTTGATGAACCTCTATTTGCACTTCTAAATTTCTTTAACTTAGTATCTAATATATTTTTAAGTATTCTTAGTAGGTTATATTTATCAGATACCAACTTTGTAAAGTTACATTTATATAGATATTATAATTATTTAATATTTTAAAAGAATTAAAATCAAAATAACCAGTGGTAATCATTACTACTCCTAGATATATTTAAGATTAGGGTTAGAAATTAGAGAATTATTTTTTTTATATATAATATAATATAGAGCTACTATAAGGGCCCAATAGGGCCCAATCTTAGTTTTTATAAGGTTTTTGGAGTCCTGAACATTTTTACTTAGAGAACCCAATCCTGTTTACTTAGTATATTTTTGAGATATAGGCACCCTGGTGATGATCACCACCAGTTATAGTTAGATTAATTCATTTTAAAAAACTTATTTATAATATTTATTCTATTTTATTTTCTACTTATTAAATCAAAATTGGCAATTGTTTTTTAAAAAGTCCAATATTATTAATATAGTAAGCTATAATAGCAATAAATTTTTTGATGTTTGAGAATATTCAAAGATCCAATATAAAAAAAATCATAATTAATATTAGAAAAATATAACTATAGTATTATATTGTAAATATAAAAAAAATTAGTATTTTGGATTTAATTTTAATTAATTTGTGATCCACATAAGAACTAGTGAAATTAATTAGTAAATTGTAGAGAAATTTACTATTAAATTTTGCCTTTTTTGGAATCTGGAGTTTCCCAAAGATAAACGTTTTTCTTTACTAAGTAAACATCCTTTCAAACTTTAAGTAAAGTTGTAGAGGAGTTTCTTGTGATCAAATGGCGCTTAAAACGTTAAAATCGGCCTAGTGGATCGCGAGATATAAGTACTGTAGTCTTTGCAACTATATGTTTTCTTCTTTTATTTATAAAGAAAAAAACATATAGTCCCGAAGACTAAAGTACTTATATCTCGCGATCCACAGGGCCGATTTTAACATTATAACTGCCATTTTGATCGCAAGAAACTCCTCTACAACTTTGCTTAAAGCTTGAAAAGATGTTTACTTAGTAAAGAAAAATGTTTTTCTTTGGGAAACTCCAGATTTCAAAAAAGGCAAAATTTATATAGTAAACATATCTCTACTTTTTACTATGTTTTGTCACTAGTTCTTAGGGGGATTACAAATTAAATTAAATACTAAAGCAAGTAATAATAAGCTTCATAGCTACAGAAACCTTATAGTTAATAATTAGGCTTTATAATTGCAATAGCAATATAAGAATTATTAATTTAAAAATGTGGCTTTGTAGCTATAATAGCAATACGAAGATATTGGATTGTTATCAAACTTTGGAGCTGTAGTAGCAGTACAAAAACTCTTTTAAATTGTAATTAGGCTTTGCAGCTCAAAACTATATTAGAGTACAATTTTAGAATCTGTGGCTACAGTATTAGTACAAGAACTTTTATAATATAATTATACCTTGTAACTATTAAAATAATTATTGCTTTACCCGGAAAGTTCAAATAATGACAGTCCCCTAACGAACAACTAGGGAACCTTTGATCCTTGCAGAGCTATGCAAGCCGGGTATACAGTGATCACTGCAAAAGACACTATCCTATCTTACTTCAGACACATATCATCATCCCCCTCTGAGATAGCACTTACTATACCAAATACTACTGACAACCAACTCTCAGACTTCTCTGATGAACCGCTATCAGAAGACGACTATAACAGTGAAGAATATCATACAGATCCAACATCATCACTATCACTATCTTATTCAAGATGGTGAAAAGGCACTTATCATGAAGTTGACCCAAACACATGCTTTAACAAATTCCTTCATTACCACAGATTACAACTTCTACCCTCACCCCAAATTATTGGCTCATTCCTGCAATATATTCAAGAAAATACCCTGAATTCTATACAAATAACTACATCAAAATATCTTTAAAACCAACCAGTACCACTTATTTCTTCTTTGAAGCACATATATATCTTCCCCACGAAGGAATCTTACCAAATCATACAAACTATTACCTCATTGAATATCTTCGTAGCCATTATAAAGTACAACTTAAATCAAACAACTCTTTTATACCAACCTTCATTGACGACTCTCTCTTTATTAACTCATCCGCATCCCTACCTAACAACTCTCTCTTTATTAATTCACCTGCATCTCTACTAAAGATGCTTGACAAAACTATTTCTGAATTGACGAATGGGATCATCAAATGATGATCCTGACGAAACTGTTGATGATTGACGAAACTAACAATGCCAGGATGTAGGTGAGATTTTCTGGGTCATGTGACAATCCGATCTCTGATCTGCACCACGATCCAAACATGTCAATCAAAATATTTTTATCTTAATAACTTAAGAAATTTTTTTTTTTATACTTATACATAAATAAATTTATTTCTTATTTAAATTAATATTTTCAAATTAATTAACACTTTTACTAAAACGTACCTACAGCATTTTACCACCTATGCCGCATTATTTTAAAAACTGACTAATTAATTTATATGCGATACTCCAAGTAAAAATGCACTATGTTTTCAAAAACCTTTCCTAAACCTTAATTCTAGCACTAAACTAAGATAAAAAACTTATAAGCGGATTATTTATATTCTCTATATTTACAAATTAATCCGAATAAATATTCATGAATTGACCTATTAGAAGATTTCAGAATTAGTATAAATAAGCACATACTTTAAAAAAATAGAATTTATACGTCACTTTTGAAATAAATGCATTACTTATTTTGTCTGAAATCGGACATCGAAGTATTAATTCTGAAACCCTAAATTTTAATAAACATTTTTTAATTCCCTGATATGTAATAAAAAAAAAATTTGTAAATACGAATGGCTTATTTTAAATAAAAAATATTTATATATTCGCAAATTAAATAATTAAAATACTTAGATTAATAAAATATTGTCTCATGTACTAAATACTCATGAATAATAGCTTATTTTTAGGCACTTAGATAAAAAAATTTTCATCACACTCACCCAAGTTAATGCAGACAAAATGAATTAAATAGCTACGAACCCGAATAGATAGTCATATACTAAATTAAAATAAATAAATAAAATTAAATAGTACATATTCATGAACTTGAGTAGCTTATTTAAACACTTAGATCAACAAATTTTATCATACTTACCTAATATAACACAAACTCAGAACTACCCCAGATAGATCCATATTATTTTACTGATGATTACTTAATAGACACCACATTTTACCGACAAGTTCACTTTACCAACAGTCTATTTCACTGAAGCTCATTTCATTGACAAGTTTTATTTTATAAATTATACAAACTTTAACTCGTGACCTTAATGATATTAACTGAATTACTTTGTCTGTAAAATGAGCTTTGGTTAAATAAACTATCAGTGAAATAAACTTGTTGGTGAAATATGGTGTTTACGAAGTGATTGTTGATAAGCTGATCGTATCCTACAATGGACTATAAGACGAAGCCACAGGACCACGCCAATGATGAACCCACTGGAACGACACAAACAACACGACGAAACTATAAGCTAGAAAAGAAAGCAACCATCTCGAAGACATTACCAAATTCAAGAAACAACAACCGCCAACTCTAACGATTCTAAATGTTAATTTTATCTGGAAAAAGAAAAGGTTAGCTAAATGTGTTCACAAACAAGAAAGAATGACAAAAATAATAACATTCCCTTCGAAGCCAAAAGAAAAAATAGCCACTGAGAAAAGAAAAACAACGATGAACCAACACTAGAAACGAAATTACTGCATCTAAAAAAAAAAATTTAGTTGAACAGTATGCAAAATGCGGTACAAAACAAAAAAAGCAAATACAAAAAAAAAAAAATCACTGATTATTATCCCTGTTTATATATCCTGTGATCAGAGATGCATGCACAAAATAGGTGCAAAACCACCAAGGGTGCGTTTTATAATATAATTGGATTTTTTTTATAGCCACTAACTAAAGCAAACAAAATAAAATTAAATAGTAAATATTCACGAACTTGAGTAAGTTATTTAAACATTTAAATTAATAAAATTTTATCATACCTACCTAAGTTAGCACGAACAGAATAAATTAAATAATAAATAGTTATAAACCCGAATAGCCATTTTAAACATGTAGATTGAAAAGGTTTCTTTATACTCACGCTCTAAATTAAAAAGAGTAATATTAATAAACTTGAGTAACTTATTTTAAACACTTATATAATAAATATATTATACGCAAATTAATATAAAAACAATAAAATTAGATAGCGAATAGTCACGAACCTGAATGGCTTTTTTAAATCCACGGATTGATAAATTTTCTTTATAGCTACTAACTAAAAATGAACAAATAAAATTAAATAGTAAAAACTCAAGAACTTGAGTAGCTTATTATCAATAAATTTCACCATACTTATCTAAGTTAATGTGAACAGAAAAAAAATAGCTATGAACCCATATAACATATTTTAAACATGTAGATTAAAAAAAAGTTCCTTTATAATCACGCTCTAAATTAAATTGAATAAACGCAATTAAATATACATAAACTTAATGACTTATTTTAAGTATTTAAATTAAAAATTGAATAGTAAATAGTCACGAACCTACATAGCTTATTTTAAATCCGTAGATTGATAAATTTTCTTAATAGTCACTAGCTAAATTAAAACGAACAAATAAAATTAAAAGTAAATATTCATGAACTTGAGTGACTTATTCAAAATACTTAAATTATCATACTCACCTATGTTAATTCAAACAAAATGAATAATTTTTTTTTATTTTTTAACTAAATTAAAGCAAAAAAAAGAATCAAAAGGTAAACGTTTGTAGCTTATTTAAACAGATTAATAAAATTTCTTTATACTTACATAAATTAATGCGATCAAAAAGTAAATAGTCGTGAACCTGTATAGCTTATTTAAAACATATATTATTAAAATTTCTTTATAATTGTGCTCTAAATTAAAGCAAACAACAAAATTAAGTAAGAGTTTACTTTAAACGAAGTGATGTGTTTTCTTTTAATTACGTATTGATTTTTTTTTAATGAAGTTCGATCCAAGTGATTTAAGAAGTGTCTTAAGTAAGAGTAAGATAAATAGTCTTCATTGTTTATCATTATTATTGATAATCTTGATCAATAATAATTTCCGTATTAGGTCGGAGAGTCGGAATGCATGTGACCCAAAAAATCTCACCTACATCCTGGATCTGTCGACGAAACTGGTGACGATTGATGAAACCATTGACGATTAATGAAACCATTGACGAAACACAAAATATAAAAAGGTATTTTATAAAAAGATAATACAAAGCTTTATTTATTATCCTTTTAAATTTTACAAATTTTTCTAAGCAATTTTTACACTATATTTAAGTGCTATTTATCTTTTTAAGATTTGGCGATATGTTTTTCTAAGTGCTATAGGTAAAGACTCTAATGCTTCATTTTCATTCTCTATAATACTTGAATCTCTGCTAATATTATCATTTGCATTATTTTCATCTATGGTATTCGAATCTATATTATCTATGGTATCCAGATCTATATTATCTATAGTATTTGAATCTATATTATCTATATTTAAGTCATTATTTTCATAATCCCATTTTTCTACTGAATTCGCTGCCAATTCTGCAGGGTCAAAATTAAATATACCTTGTCCTGGTTTGTTACCAGTTAACTCATCGTAATCAAGTTCATCAAACTCATCTTCATAATCTTGAAATTCTTTATTATTACTATCGGATTCACCATCTCGAAATACTTCATCATTTAAACATACTATATTTCAATATCAAATTGTTCAATTATTTCTAAATTACATTCAACTTCCTCTACTTCAAAATCTTTCATTATTTTCGACTAAAAATGTTGCAGATGCAACTTGTACTTGTAAGTCATTCAACAATGTTTTTTTGCCAAAAAAAGCAAGTTCTCTTTTTATATTGGAAATATAAAAAGATTGAACTAGTGCCATAGCTTGAAGCCTTGATAAAGAAAGTCTACATCATTGTTTTCCATAAATCTAACCTAATGCTGAAAATGTTCTTCACAATCAGCAGAATGTGGTATGATTGAAAAAATTTTGATTGCAAGCTTTCTAATAGATTTGGAGCCAGTATGATTCGTCATCCACCATAATAAAGGGTTATCGGTTTCGAAACTATAAAGCAAGTCAAATCTATCTTCTTTTTCTCAAAATAATCGCATATATGCAATAAGATTTGCACATTCATATTCATCATAGTCTTCATTTTTCCATATTTGAATTGCAATTCTTGCAATTTCTTGAAATTGATTTTCCCGTAAACCAGCACCTAATAAAATAAAAATTATATTAACTAATATATATTTATTTATTAAATCTTCAAAATATGCATACCATGATATCCTGGGTGGAGAAAATATGCAAGTAAATAAATATCTGTATTAAAATTATTCCATCTTTTGTTAAAAACTTGCTTGCAATAATTTTTAAATTTATTAATTTGTAAGCTTGGAATTTTTTTAATAGCAGCTGCCAAACTAATGAATTGTACAAAGCAATCTGCGAGTATTGTTGATTGGGCTTCCAAGTTCATAATAGCAGTTCGAATTGGAGATAAAATTTTGACTAAAATTTTAATGTCAGAAAAAAAATAAGGTAACTTCAAGATTTGTTTGACAGTATGATTTATAATTAAGTTCGGGTTCTCATTTATAACCTACATATTATATAAAATAAAATTTAAATATTAATCTTAAATATTATAAAAACATTAATTTATAAAATAAATATCTTACTTTAATAAATGCACGCTCAAGTTGACTAACAGATAAAGTGTATTCATATGCTGATGTCCATCTTGTGTCTATAAATTTTCTTAATCCGCCACCAGAAATATTTAATTCATAAATTGCTTGCTGCAGATATGTATTTGGTTGATGTGATTTCTTAAAGTATTTGATAATTTCATTATATCCTTTTATAAGGCGTGAGGCAAAACTATGCTCTAAAATAATTATATATTAATAATAATTTAATTATTATAACTTAAATATTTTTAATAAATACTTAAAATATCTTTAGACACAAGATTGATACAATAAGCAATACAGTTTAAGTTTAATATTTTGGGATATTTTTCATAGATAGTTTGCTGTGTAAGCTTCATGTTACTTGCATTGTCTATAACAATTGCTGTAAATCTATTATGCCCAACTTCTTCTAAAATTAAATCAATTTTTTCTACAAGAAATTCGGCTGTATGTGAATTTGCAGAAAATCATGTAATGAATATAAAAATTTGTTATGCATAGGTATTAAAATAACGAAGCTATGTAGAGTTTCTATTGGGTGAAGTCTACCCATCTAGTGCTATATATATATAAAAATATAATTAATAATAAATAATATAATTATATATTTAAAGAAAATTACTACGAATCACCACTGGTGATTATCGCCGGTGTCACGTGCCTAGTATATACAATACGCGTTATACAGAAATAGTTTATTAATAATCCAATTTTTTTTATTCTTTTTACAGTTATCTAAGTGTCTAACTATTCCACGCTCGAATTCACAGCCCTTTACCTTTAATTACTGCATTCTTTACTTTTAACTTACTTTCGTGTATTTTCTTAGCTCTAACT